CACCCCCTCAGCAAATCTCTATCAGATGCAAGAAAAGGACAGCTCAACCTTTCAATTCATGGTTCAGCATAATAATCTCCGAGAAACTGTCAGGTTCCTTGTCAAAGGTGGAAGGTCAAAGAGCCCCTTAGCTGGCCAAAGCCATAAAAATGATAACAGATCCCCTTTTCACTAAGGAGCTTGCGGACTGGAAATGTCTGACAGGTCTCTTGCAGGAAAACCCCCTCCCCTTGCCTCTTCCCATCTAGCCCACCATCATGGTAGCAATCATGTGACTAACCCACATCTGCCTGCTGTCCATCACCTGACACCTGTACTTGTGTATCCTGTCCCTTCGTGATGGCGTGGAGCAGACCACCACCCAATCACCTTAATGACCACCCCCCATCAAAGGGAAAGATTAAAAGGACTCAACCACCAGCAACCAACTGCCATTGCCTTGCTAAGCTATGGTTAAGGCCATGTTTCCTGGCTTTGGCCCCCTCCCCTACCTTGGGGAGGTCAATCTCCTTTCTCTCTCTCAAATTTACTTTCTAAGTAAACTATATTTTCTAATCTAACCTCTGTGCAATTCTTTGCATCTTTCACACAGCACTGGCTTGTTCACCATACACCCATACCCACGGAGGGCCCGACCTAACATTCTGGAGGGTTCTGCTGGGAGTGTAACCCTAACATTAATCAAGGTAATTACTAGTCATACATACTGTCTATGTCAAACTCCTCACAGCAAGATAACGTGAGGCAGACCTTGGCTGGATATTGTTAAAAGCACTAAAAGTAACAGAAAAGATGAACGTGTGAAGGGACCTTGATGAAGGCTGAAGGCAGGAGCAAGCCCAGGGTGGAGAAAAACAAGAACAATTCATTTGGGGAGGTGTGTGGCTAGGGAATTCAGACAGAGACCTCAAAAGCGTAACATATGAGGTAGGGTAAGACAGAAAGTGAAGGGAGTCTCAGCTAAGCAACGGAAGCCCAGAGTGACAGGCTGCGACAGCCTGTGAGAAAGAACTTATGACACAGAACCCCTCGTGTCTCTCAAACTCATGCCAAGGATCCTCAGAAAATAACCTAGAAGTGACAACAGCCTAGACTTCAGGCTTTTGTAAGATCAGTGACCAGTCTACAGCTTCCCACTTTTGCATGTTTGACTCTTTAATCTCATATGCCTAATACAGCTGAGTAATTTTAGAAGCAATGTGTCAAGACGCATCTCGTTTCGTGCTTAAAACATGTAGGGGTCCAAGAGAAACACAGAATATCTTTTTTCAACCACAACTAAGAGGCCTAAAAAGTAACACTTGGTGGGTCTGGGAAGACAAAGCCATTCTAGGTTCCCTGAGATACACACACACAACCATTCTAGGAGATCAACTAGAGGTGACCAACAAATCACTGGGTCACAATTTCATGAAAACATGTGTTTACTTAAGCTTATTTCTCTGGAGGTAAAGCCATGTGTGCTTTGTTTAACATATAAACCTTTTATCATAAGGTGTGCAGTTTCAAATCACACAGACTAGTTATTCCTAAACTGTCTTGAAGAATAAGCTGCACCAGAATACTCAGAACTCTTGAAGGCTTTAAGATGAAAAACTCTCTAGGCTGTGAGGAACTATCATGCCACAGAAGTGCCTCTGGCTGTTTTACCTTCAAGTAACACAAAAAAACTGCCCAATACATAACCAGAGGCAAAAATATTTGGTGTGAAAAACTAAGAGCCAAAGTTTTCAGCGTTTGGCTTTCAAAATAGGGACATCTGATAAGGATGTCAACCTTCATTTTTGATCTTCCTTTACACTCACACCAAAGGTCAGAATTTCAATGCAATAAGGATTCTACTGCTTTGGTTTCTTTTTATTACAGGCAAAGAATTTTCTTGGACCTTGGGGGTATCTATAACTAGTTTGGTATACATGTGTGTGTGTGTGTGTGTGTGTGTGTGTGTGTGTGTGTGTGTGTGTGTGTGTGTGTCTGTGTATGTGTATGTGTGTGTGTGTGTGTGTAGATCCACCTATCTAGAGAGAGTATATATAGCTGGCTTACATCTATTTTACAAAGTTATATAGTTGACCCTTGAATAACATGGGTTTAAACTGTATGGGCCCATTTGTATGTGATTTTTTTTCAACCAAACATAAATAAAAAATACAGTACTGGGGGTATGTGAAACCCGTGTACATGGAGAGCTGACTTTTCAGGCGGGTTCCCCAGAGCAGACTGTGGGACCTGAATAAGCGTGGACTTGGGTATACACGGGCAGTCCTGGAACCAACCCCCTCATGTATACTGTGGGACTAGCTGCACGGTTTTTGAAAATTGAAAAAAAAATTTTTGCTGTGTTGCCTAGGCTGGTTTTAAACTCCCTAGCCTCAAGTGATCCTCCCTGGCTTGGCCTTCCAAAACACTGGGATTACAGGCATAAACTGCTGTGCCTTGCCTCAACTCTATATTTTTAAAGTTAAAAACCTTCCACTGAATCTTTTGTTAATCTTTTATTTTTAAATGAGAGGCAGGAAAAACAACCCGAGTGCGGAAGCTAATGAGGATAAGCTATGACAATAAGAAAAGTGGCCAGCTAGCTGTTCCTGTGATACAGATGTGTGCTTGGTAAATCATGGGAAGAGACCAGTACTACACAGAAAACATGTCAGGGCATGTGTGGTTTTTTTCCTAGTCAGACAAGTCAAACTAGCAGAAATAGAGTTATAACCTCTGGCAGGAAGATAAAACGTCCTGAGCACCACAACTGCAAAGGGAGTTCTTTCTACTACCTCAAGAACCTCGAAAAATGAAAATCCACATTCATGGCCTTCTCCCAGAGGCACAGCCTCAGTCTTAGAGGACTTTAAAGGTTCATGGTGGGTTGTACTCCCTCCATGCTTAGAGGCCTACTTTCATCTACTCTGCTGCTTTTGTGCATTATAAAACATCCTGAGATAGGCTGATTTGCCTGATCTGCCTCTCCCTGGTCCTCCAAGTCATCCCAATTACTGTTCTTGTTAGCACTCTGGTCACACAGTTGCACAGGCTTTGAGTGGTCCAGCCCAGGCCTATCATTCCATGAGTTCTAGCCGTTTTATTTTTTGTTTTTATTTTTTGAATCAGAATCTCACTCTGTCGCCTGGGCTGGAGAGCAGTGGTATGCTCATAGCCACTGCAGCCTCATCCTGCTTGGCTCAGTTGGTCCCTCTGAGATAGAAAAAACAGGAATTAAGCAGGAAAGTGGACCTCGAGGGTCTTATCTTAAGTAACTGCTTCCCATCTCTGCTTCTGTAAATACGCTGCAAGTAAGCAGCTACATGCCATTTTCCTTAACTGTAATCTCTATTTCTGTAAACATGCTTTATTATACCTCATATGGAAATGTCCATAAAAATGTCAGCGTCAATGCTTGTTGTAGAAGTAGAAGTAACTGTTCCCAGTTCTAACATTGTAAACCCACCAAAGGCAAACCCATGTATGCTGTAACCAAAAAGCTCTCTAAAAGCAGCTTGAAACTGAGGGTCGGGGCTCAGATTTTGGGAAGCTACTCCACCTGAGACTTCCAGAATAAACACCTTCGATTCTCCTCTCAGTTGCTGGTGCCTGTTCTGAGTACATTCATTCCTATTCCTGGTGAGTTGCTGCAGTTGCTGTAACATTTTCACTTCAGTCTTCCAAGCAGCTGGAACCACAGGTGCATGCCACCACGCCCAGCTACGCATTTGATTTTTATTGTAGAAATGAGGTCTCACCAAGGTGCCCAGGCTGGTCTCAAATCCCTGGACTCAGGCAATCCTCTTGCCTTCACCTCCCAAAGTACTGGAATTAGAGGTGTGAGCCACCGTGCCTGGCCTCTATCTGTTTTTGAGTGCATTTTTGCAGATGGTAAGATTTTTCAAGAACATATATGTATGTCGTGTTATAGCAGAAAGGCCTGTAAGCCTCAGTTTCTGTCTATAAAATTACTGTTATAGAAATCAAACATGATGATGCAATTTTTGTGTGTGTGTGTGTCAGAGTCTCACTCTGTCGCCCAGGCTGGTTACTCTGTCGCCCAGGCTAGAGTGCAGTGGCACATTCATGGCCACCCCAGCGTCGACCTGCTGGGCTCAGGCGATTCTTCCGCCTCAGCCGTCCAAGTAGCCGAAACTACAGGTGTGTGCCACCATGCCCAGCTAATTTTTTTATTTACTGTAGAGACGAGGTCTCACCAAGTTGTCCAGGCTGGTTGTGAACCCCAGGCTCAGGCAATCCTCTCACCTTGGTCTCCCAAAGTGCGGGGATTACAGGCTTGAGCCACTGTGCCAGGCCTGTTGATGCATATTTAACCCAATGGCTGGCCCAAGTAACAGGTTTCTTAATGCCTCTTAGAATTTCTACCTCAGCCAAGAGTGGTGGCTCACGCCTGTAAATCCCAGCACTTTGGGAGACAGAGGCAAGAGGATTGCCTGAGCTCAGGGGTTCAAGATCAGCCCAGGCAACTTGGCGAGATCTTGTCTCTACAATAAATAAAAAAAATTAGCTGGGTGTGGTGGCCAGTGCCTGTAGTTCCAGCTACTTGGAAGGATGAGGTGGAAGGAATGCCTGAGCAACCAGGTTGAGGCTATGGTGGCTGTGAACGTGCCACTGCACTCCATCCAGGGCGACAGAGTGAAACTCCGACTCAAAAAAAAAAAAAATTTCTACCTCAATATTCTCATACAAACGAGCTTGGATATGAGAATGGGTTTTTAGTAAACCCCAATCCTAAATTATGTATTGTAAGCCTGTGTTTGGGATGTCTCGCCCTTCAAAGGTAAACAAAATGAACTTCAAGCAGCTTTCAGATGAACAGGACCCAGAAGCACTCCAAATCCATGCTGCCCCAGCTCCAGGGCTGGTTCCATGTGGGCATCACACTCAGATACAGTGCAACTTCTCAATACCCTCAAAGACAAGTGATATGCAAACAGTGGAACTAACATGTGCGGCTTTTCCTAAACACATGTCCAAAGGCAGAGTGTAAGAGTACATACCCATATATGCTGCCCAGTGGATGGCACGCCTGTCTTTCTTGTCAAAAGCATTAATATTGGCCCCTCTAGACAAGAGAAGCTTGACCATCTGGAATAAAAGCAAACACAGCTTCATACATTCTATAGAAGAATCATGTATGAGTATACACTTGTGACAATTACTCATCTCAACTTCTCTGGCACTAAATCTCTGCATTTGTAGAAAGGCAGGAGGCAGACTAAAACACTGAAGGCCGTTTGCCATGGCAACAGAAGATGAAAAAGGGTCAACTGTGCATGTTACTGAAGTCATTATGCTACTTTGCGCTCAGTGTTTTTATAACCTAAGTACAAACATGGAAAGTCTAAGCTGGGCTATTTAACAAGAGGTCTTACTCCCATTCGTAGTCCAAAACATCATTAGAATGCAAAGTGCATTCTCATTCCACAAATGTCTTAAGCTTATTAATTCAAGTACAAATGTCATACTTTCAATAAGGCAGACTGAAGGTCACTGCACAGTCTACCTTCTTCATAAGGTACCAAGAACAGCAATAATGCCTAATACTATGTACAGTGGTTTCTCCACTGCAAAGGGGATTGCGGATTTCAAACAGGGACACATCTGTGACCTTAACCGCAGGGGAAGCAAGGAGTCTTATGGTGCAAAATCGGCTCAGTGGTCCCTCTCATTTGCAGTTTCACTTTTTGCAGTTCTAATTATGTGCAGTCAACTGGGATCTGAAAACAATTGAGTACAGTTACAATAAGATATTCTGAGAAAGACCACATGGATATAACTTTTATTAGTTTTTGCTGTAACTGTTCCATTTATAAGTTGTTATTGTGGCTAATTCCTTATACTGCTTCATTTATAAATTAAACTTTGCCACAAGTATGGATGTACATGGAAAAACAAACTATCTATGGGGTCTGGTACTATCCGAGGGTTCAGGCATCCACATCCCCCCTGTGGATTAGGGGGCACCACTGTAAAGTGAGATAAAGCACTCCAGCCACTAGCTCCCAGTCTTAGAAACACCATTTTACCTCTTTGGGTTTCTGTGTCTGCGACAAAAACGAAAGACTAGACAAGACGGACTCAAAGCTTCTTCTGCTTCCTCCTTCCCTAAGTCTTCTAGTAACATATAAGCCCCAATCTTCACTATGACAATGCCTAGCACAGGTGATGCTTGTTGTGCAAGATAACTAAATACCAATTTTCTCTTCTTTTTTTTTTGAGTTGAAGTTCTCACCCTGTCACCCAGGCAGGAGTGCAGTGGCACGCTCACGGCCGCTGCTGCTTCGACCTGCTGGGCTCAGGTGATCCTTCAGCTTCAGCCTTCCAAGTAACTGGAACTACAGGCACAAGTCACCATGCCTGGCTAATTTTATTTATTTATTGTAGGGATGTGGTCTCACTAAGTTGCCCGGGGCTCGTCTTGAACCCCTGGGCTCAGGTAATCCTCTCACCACGGCCTCCCAAAGTGCTGGGATTTATAGGCCTGAGCCACTGTGCTCGGCCTAAATACCAATTTTCCTACACTGTTTTCCTTGGGTGGTTCTGTCATTAAAGAAGTCTCTTGACTAAATGTTGGGTAATAAACTGTAAGAAAGCATGTTTTCCAAACTCTGCCTTTCTTTGCTGCCATTCTTCAGGGAGAACAAAGAAACTGCACCATTTTCTTAGACTCCCCACAGTGACAGAACATAATTCAGGGGGTATTAGAATTGGCAGTGTTCTCCTTGGTCCCTCTAGGTTCACCAGGAATTTCAAGTGCCTGGGGAGCATCTGCTAAATATAGTTCTAAATTTTAGACTGTTATATTGTTTAAAAAACAGCCTGGGAATTTGCTGAAGCCCAAATTAGACAAAAATGAGCAAGGCAAGTATTTCTGTCTGCTTTTACCATGCACTGAAGACTGCCTAGAAAAAGGCAAGTTCACTGACAACTGAGGGGTAGAAGGAAGGAGGGAAAAATCCTGGTCTAACTGAGTGCCACCTACCTCACCATGTCCACTGAAAGCTGCATGATGTAACGCAGTTCTCCCTGCTCGATCAGACACGTTCACATTACTCAGAAGAGGCACCAGCGCTTCCGCACACTTCACAGCTTTGTTAGCAGCAGCTATGTGCAAAGGAGTTTGCCAGTTTTTGTCTCGAGCATTAACATCTGCAGAATGCTTCAAAAGTACCTGAACTGCTTCCTAAAACACAAAATTTTTAGAAATTATTTCTACAAATATGTGTTCAGGAAATACAAAAGTTCTGATAGAATCCACAACAAATAAGGAGGAATTTACCACCCCCCCCGCAAAATATATCTTGAACGTAATGACAGTCCTCAGAGCCATATCAGATGCACCAAAATAAAACACTATCTTTCTCAACCCTACCACTAAAGGCATAACAATTCCTATCAAAGTATGCAAGAAATACTAACAAATGTTCTTCAAAAACATTCATTTCTCATCTTGTTTTTCGAAATAGCAAGATATTATTTATACTTTGGACAATTTTTTGTTGGTTGTTTTGTGTTTTAGGAGACAGGGTCTTGCTCTGCCACCCAGGCTGAAGTGCAAAGGCAAGGTCACAGCTCACTGCAGCCTTGAATTCCTGGTCTCAAGTGAGCCTCAGGTCTCAGCCTCCCAAGTGGCTAGGGCTGACGGCCACCACAGCCAGCTAATTTTTAAAATTTTTGGTAGAGATGGGGTCTTTCTACGTTGAACAGACTGGTCTGAATGCCTGGCTTCAAGCGATCTCCTGCCCTTGCCTCCCCAAGTGTTAGGATTACAGCATGAGCCACTGCGCCTGGCTGCTTGGAACGATTTTATGAACCAGATTTATTACTTTGCATTAAATATATAAAAATGAAAACATACTACAGACTCTCTCCCAGACCCAAAGTATTACATATACTATGTATTACAAAATGAAAAATCTCTAGGATCTTTTCTTTTTTCTTAGGCATATAACGTATATACAAGGTCTTTGTTGTAATGCTGCTCAGCAAGAAAGTTAAGGCAATTTAATAGCTTACTATCCAAGGGACTTACCTCCCAGAAGCACATGGAAACCCTCACAACATCACATCTATAAACTCGACTCATGGCAGGCCCAAGAAATTTAGTATGCCATCAACATTAAACAGTATAATTACAACTTGGCAAAAATTTTCTCCTTACTGTAATAATCTTATTTTTGGTAGGTAAATGCCAAATTATATATGAAAGTGAAAAGGACTGGAACCCAAACAGAATTTGGGTTCTCATCTCGATTCTATTTTTTTCAAGGTACACTATTCAAGTCTTGTAAAACTGACCCTCAGAGCTCGCATCTGTAAAGGGGTGGGAAGTACTGCCTGCCCACCACTCTTCTCAAGCATGCTAGAAAAAATAAACTAACACATGTGATGAGTGTCAGAAAGTGAAAATAGCCATAAATACACAGAGTATCAAGGAAGACCAAACAAAAAACTATTAGCCATGATCCCATGAATCACCCAGAGCCTTCAAACTAAGAAGTAATCAGAAGTGTCTGAAGTATGGGAAACAGTACAAGTAATTAACAGGGTTGGCAAAAGACTGAAGAGATGTTCAGAAGTCTATCGGCCTGCCAAGGAAGTCCGCCAGTTAGTCAAAGTCTATGACCCCACAATTCCACTATGCTTATTTACCCAAAAGAAAATTTAAAAAAATTCATCCAAGAATGCTCGTAGCAGTTTTATTCCTAATAGCCAAAAACAGAAATGCAAATGCACACCAACAGAAAATGGGCAAACAGTAGCACAGCTGTGTGATTAAAATGAACCAACACTGTACACAACATCAACAAACCTCAAAAATGTTATGCTAAAGTCAAGATAATAAATATTCTAATGACTTCATTTTTATGAAGTTCTAGAAAAGAAAAAAATTACTCTGTGATGAGAGAAGTCAGAACAGCGCCTGCCCCTGGGGACAGGGGAGTCTGAGTGAAAAGTCAGGACACGCGGGGACTTGCTGGGGTAACAGAAATCTTCTTCATCTTCATTGGGATAAAGGTCCCACAGGTGTAAACATCTGTCGAAACTTATGAATGCACACTTGAAATCTATGCATTTTAATCATAAGCTGTATTTCAACTTTACAAAGGAACATGGAAAGACAATGAGCATACATAGAGGGGTGTGTACTCAAAATTATAAAAAACAAGGATTCCCCGCCTCCATCTCCAAGAAGGGCATATTACACCTTGGAAGACAGAAAAATAAAACCACTACAGTGGGGAATGTTATTTGGTTTGTTTGTTTTGATTTGAGTGAGGGTCGCACTGTTGCCCAAGCTGGAGTGCAGTGCCACAATCATAGCCACCACAGCCTCCAACTCCTGGGCTCAGATGTTCCTTCTGCCAGAGCCTCCCAAGTAGCTGTAGGCATGCTATTTTTTAATTTTTTGTAGCAACGAGGTCTCACTATGTTGTCTAGGCTGGTCTTGTTAGTTGGTATGTTAGTGGATGTAATAGATAATTTAAAAATAGTAAAATTATAATTGGATAAACTTGGCAAACACAGAATACTAGAGCTGTCAGCATTGCCTAATATATTTCCATGATGGAATTCACAATATAAACATTAAAGCTTCTGAAAACTCTGGGAAATATTTATGTTCCATTAGCAAGAATAGGAAAATCAAGACTATTCTTCCTCTTCACTAAAAAGCAAGAGTAAATCCAGCATATAGCAGGGGAGAGTAGGTAAGGTGGTACCCCAAGAAAGCAATAAGCAAAACAACCGAGACATGTTAAGACAGACCAAGGTCTGAACCCTGGGCTTACCGTTTCCTACCCTGAGAACAGCAGTGATCTTTGAAAATTCAGAGAAAATGAAATAGAACCTCTTTAGAGGCTGGAGACCTTTAAAAAGAACAGGTAAATTTCTAGAACCACAAACCCAAGAGAGAATGGTGGGAACAACCAGGGGTAAAGATGGTTTCAATAGCAACAAATATTATCACAGCAACCTCAACTCCAAGCTTACAATTAGGGGGTATGTGTAAGAAAAAGAAATGCTGCGGGTGTGTATTGATTTAAAAAAAAAAAAAGGCTGAGTAAATACTCCAAGATCTCAATTGAAATGAGATGATGAAATATGGGGGTGATGACAACTGGCCAAACAACTGTACTCAAAGAGGTCAATCTAGAATAGCCTCCACAGCACCAACTCTCTCTTTGGCTCTGCCTTTTCAGCAATTCTTACCACTGATTTGAAGGAAGGCATAGGAAGAAACAGTTAACATATTTGCAAATAAACATACAGTTTGGAGAGATCAACAATATCTCATATCTCATGTCATAATGTAATTTAAACTTAGATATCTTGATAGATTTAAAATGTAACTCCTGATTAGGTTAAAAACTAATTGTATGCCCTCTAGCAATGTGGTGCAGCTTCTTAAAACACACACACGCGCGCGCATTTTCTTCTTTAAAAACCTCTACCTCAACTCAGAAATTGCTTTATTCAGAAAACTATGTAGCACTTACAAAGTGCTGAACTGTGTGCTACTGTGGAAGAACAGTCACAAATCAGAGTGTTGGAGACAGACAGCAGCAGCCCAGCCAGCAGGGAGGAGGAGGTATGTGGAAATCAGATTGCTGAAGGAAAGCTGGGGAGTCTGGGATGTTTTGCCGGGTCCTCGGTCCAGGCTCAGGGAGGGAACTAAGCCCTCAGGCATCCCTGTATGTGCCAAATCAACTTCTCCTTCACGCATCTCCTACTATGTTAGCTACTGTGTCTTCAGGAGAATTTGGAAAACTGTCACTCTAATCATCTTGCAAAAGGATTTACTTCTCCCGCGGTGTCTCAATATATAAACCAAAAGCTACCTAAAATGTTGCCTCTGAAAGACTCATCTCTCCACATGCTCTCTGTGACCACAGATATACTTTCTATTTAATAAAATAAGTGTAGCTACTTTTGCTCTCAGACCATAATGAAAACAAATAAAAGAATACCCAGGAAGTTGATCATCCTGACCAGGCTTTCTAACAGTTTTGCTAATTATGAGATTTTCTTTTGAAAAGAGAAATGATACCCAGTGTTTACACAAGTTATATTTTCATGGAATGGCCACATTTTACAGTTGTTTCCCATAATCCTGCAGAAGAATGTCAATACTATATGGCCTGGAAAGCGTCCTGACAGCACTTACATGGCCACTGCTTTCCAACCTATAAGTGGCCCTTAAACTCACGATAAGAACACAAGTCAGGTCTCTGACAGAACCTGCTATCTTCCTCTAGCACTCATTTTTACTTCCTATTTTTTTGGTCAGTTTTGTAACCACTGCAGATATACAAAGTGTGCCTTCTAAAACTCCATTAATTTTAATAGCCAAATTCCCAGGAGTCACACTAAGAAACAGGTAGGCATGACTAACATTACCATGTCCCAGTAACAGTGATGTTTATCTTCCTTAAATGCTTTTATTGAAAAAAAGTCTTTATAGAAGGCTAACCACAAAATTAATAGCATTGCCACGGAATTTCAGAATTCAAAGTATCTTGTCTATTAAGTCTTAGTGTTCCTTACACCCACACTGACCCAACATCACACAGCTAAAAAGTTGCAGGTAACAAACGAAGCTAGTGTCTCCAAATCCAAGTTCCACAAGTTCATCAGCTATGGCACATCACCGACGCCACAGGAGGCAGGCTGTGTGTTTATGAGCAACCACTGTTCCCTCCCTCCCTCTCCCAAGCGGGAGGCTACAGCTAACAGACTGCCTCCTTCAGTCTCAGGGTCTGCAATCTTTCCATCACTTTTCACCTTGAAGACTCTTCGCTTGCGCTCAGCTCATGTTCTGGGTTCAAGCTGTGGTTCACCATGAGGAATACAAAGAACAACTGAGGCCCTACTTAAGAGTCCCCTCTGCTTCTCCAGGACTACGCAGCCAGCCCACGATGGGAGAAGGCGCCCCAGCCACACTCAGAAGTGCCTTTCTTACCTCTCACAATGTGAAAGAAATACTAACTTATACATTCACACACTTTCATATTTTAAACTTTGCAGTAAGCACCAACTATTATAAGTCAGGTAAAAGGGGTACATCGGACACAGTGCATTTTAGAAAAGCATGCAACACACTTTACAAAGGCAGAACAATCACAGAAAAAAAGAAAATCCAGGTTTTTGTCCCAACTCTGTCGTTCATCAGCTGAATCATTTCTGGAGAATCATTACCTGCAGTTTCCTCGAAACACCTGTCCTACAAAGATGGCATCAGGACTCACTGGTATGAAAAACGCAAAGGCTTGCACTAATGAGTGCTCTCTCAAAATGTCAGTTATTTTGACAAGCAAACAACACACAGGGCTGTAAACAAGAAGGAATTATTCTTCCTTGTAAGACTCCTCACATACTTTAAAGTTACATATTTAAAACTGGTAAAATGTACACTCAAGTAGTATTTTCTAAACTAATTTCAGTGTTTAACCATAGTTCAACAAATCATTTTACACTGATGTGATGAAACCTTCCCCACAGACTATAGAAAACCAGTAGAGAAAAGTCCTGAACGGGATTATTTAGGATGGAAAAAATAATGTCTCTCACGGAAAGAACAAAAGGAGGGCTTTCTAGTCTCTGCTGCTTCAGACTTTGCAAGAGGTCTTACCCACAAAAAGAGAAATGAAACCATTAACTTGGCTAGTACAAACTCTAAAGTAAAATTATCAGTCTGGGTATTTCGGTTGCGTTTTCCTTCTTTAGGAAGTATAGAATTTGAATATGAACTCACAGGCAGGCCTGGTTAATGTTTTTGTATACAATATATTTACTCAGGAAAATTTCATACCTCACTACAAGATGCAACTGCTCTGTGTAAAGGTGTCAACCATTTGCTGTCTTTGGCATTAACTCTAGCTCCTGCAACAAGAAGAAAAAAATAGATTGAAATATTTTACATAAAATATTTTTAATCTGAAATAGGTTATGTATAATCCAAATTGGATAAATGACAATTGAAAAAGTACTTTTTAAAATACGTTTCGCTAATAAATTACCCTTAAATTACAAAACAAAATTATCCTTTTAAATCGATGTAATTATCCAATAAAGTATCAGCTTTTTATTAAAAATAAAATAAACATCATTTTACATATAGGCTAGAAAAGCCACCTTTATACAGAGCATATCCAAGGTAAAAATCAGACCCCGCTTTAGACTGTGTGATAGAAATTCAAATGTTTAAATGAACATAAGAACATGCTCAGAGACAAAATGTGGACCATTTCAAAGTCTCCATCACAGTTCTTTGTTAATGAATGCATCATGTCATAAAGTAATATGATATCAAAATAGTTCTCCAGCCACAGATCAAAAACATTAGTAGTACCAAGTTATTGTATAAAACGGATGTGATGGTAATAGGTTAAAAAAAAAACCAAGATAGAAAGAAATGAACCAACTATGTCTTTCTGGGTTGTACCTAAGGTTTTAAAAATAAATCAGCTTTGAACAGTTGTTTAGAAATAATTAAGCCAGGCTGGGCGCGGTGGCTCAAATCTATAATCCCAGCACCTTGGGAGGTCAAGGCGAGAGGATTGCTTGAGCCCGTGGGCTTGATACCAGCCCAGGCAACATGGTGAGACCTCATCTCTACAATAAATTAAACAACAAGCTGGGCATGGTAGCGCGCGCTGTAGTTCTGGCTACTTGGAAGACTGAGGCAGAAGGATCGCTGGAGCCCAGCAGGTTGACGCTGGGGTGGCCGTGAAGGTGCCACAGCACTCCAGCCTGGGCAACAGAGTGAGACTCCGACTCAAAAAAAAAAAAAAAAAAAAAAAAAAATTAAGCCAACAGTCAAAAGTTTAACAGAATGCAAACAAACTGAGACAGACAAAAAAACATATTTCATAATTTTGGGGGAGGAAGAGTTATCTCCTACATAAAACCTACTGATTTCATACCCAAGTCTCGATCAAATAAGAGCAGCCCATGGTAGGATCACTCCATTGACATCAGAGTAGCAGAGCCCTGGCTCATAGAAGTAGAGAGGATCTGGCTGGCAAGTCCCGTCCTATAAAGCGATCCTGGATTTATACCCCAAATCCTAACTAACTCTTCCTTTCCTAGATGATGAAACACAGTGCAACATCAGGGTCAAGTATAGCAGAACCATGGCCAGAATTCACGCCTCCTGGTGCTTCCATGCTCTCTGGCTCTGAGTGAGAGGGCTGGGATAACCAAGTGCATGACTTCATGTAACGGCTCCAGTCATCACAAGTTCCTTGATCTACAAACAGACTTCAGAAACCCTTGTGACCAAGATGACACAAAACAAACGTACCTAGCATCCAGGACAGAGACATGAGAGGTAGGTTTAAAAGCCTCAAAAGTGAGAGAAAAGAAAGTGGAATGGCGGTAACAGGAACATCCACACATGCAGCAGGGGAAATTCTTGGTAGCCAGTCTCTGTGGGCAGTGACAGTGAGGACACTGGAAGAATCAAGAGCCAATCTGAGAGCTTTCAAGAATGCTCAGTTAGGCTTTGGGAGAAGGAAAGGAAGTCAGAAAGCAGTGAAGATTCATGTAACAGCATATGGGCGATTATCCGCCAGGCACTGTGGAGCAAGATGGTTACAACCCAGACTGCCTGGCTGCAGTCAAGCCAGCATTTGCTTGGGTGGAAGCTAGATGGGAAATGTGTACCAGCTGGAGACAGGCAAGGGCTGACACGGAAGCCAGGCCCCTCCGTCCTCCCCGTGTCTGCCTGGGACGCCAATGGCTCTCTCTGAGCCGTGCCTCTTTCTACAGGTTTATGCTGATACGTGCACACACATCTGTGCCCTGGGAAGTCCTGGCAGTTAAGGACTGAAGGGTACTAACAGACACCCAGAACAGAGAGGATCCTGGATCAACACAGGCAAAGAAGAGTGAGGTCTCAAAGGGGGCCTTGAGAAGTCTGATTCCAGGTATTAATTAACAAGAGAACAGAATGTGATTGGCACTAACACACACACACACACACACACCCCCCCCCCCCCCGAGGAGACGTTTTACGTGTTGATACAGATCTGAGAAATAAAAAGTGAAAAAAGCAGTAACTGTATGAATAATATGCTTTACTGTTATATAGAAAGAAAAAGAGATATGTCTCTATCATCATACAGTGGTCCCCTTGTTTCACTTTCCATGGTTTGTTACCCGCTCAATCATAGTCTGAAAATATTCAATGGAAAATTCCAGAAAGAACCAATTCATAAGCTTTAAGCTGCTCTGTTTGGAGCAGCGTGACAAAATCTGGCACTGCCCACTTCATCGCTCAGGACATGACTCACCCCTCCGCCCACCCTGTCTTGGATACACTACCCACTCCTCAATAGGCCACCTTGGCCATCAGACTGGCTGTACTGCAGCACTAGTATTTGTTATTACTTTACTTAATAATGGCCCCAAAGCACAAGAGTAGTGTTGTCAGAAATCCAAATATGCCGAAAGAAGCAGCAAAGTGCTTCCTTTGAGTAAAAAGGTGAAAGTTCTCAATAAGAAAAAACATCATATGCTGAGGTCACTATGATCTATGGTAAGAACAAATCTATCTGTGAAATTGGGAAGAAGGAAAAAGAAATTTGTGCACAGTATACAGGGTTCAAAACTAAATGAGGTTTCAGGCATCAATTGGGATCCTGGAACAACCCCTTAGAAACCCTAGAGAAATGCTGAGACAATAATAAGAGCACATGCCTACATGCTTGTGCTGGCGGTGAGGTACACTGAACACTGGACACATGAGGGAAACTGGGGTAGAAGGGCCACTTCACTGTATACCGTGTGCCTCTAAACATATGTGTACATTTACAACATACAGTAATTTTTAGACACAACTGAAATACTGCCTATTAAACATGAAACATATTTAAGAGGAAATAAAAGGAATATTCACAGAAAACGTTGAGAATTTGCTTTCAAGTGCAAAGAAAAAAATAGGAAAGTTACTAGGAATAGGGTGAAGACAGTTTTTCCTTCTTTTAGATATGGGTTATTAGACTTCCAAGTGCATAAAGATTTGGTGTATTTGGGAGACTTAAGTAAAAAACTGCTGGTTTCATTCTGTCACTTTAAATTATGATAATTAATTTGCTTTCTTTCTCTTGGTTTGTAATAACATAAAATTAATTTATCAAAACACATAAGTAATTACAACAAAGAATCCACTCATGGCTGACTAAGGCTATATCATACCGCTCCTTGTTACTAAAAGACAATTTGATTTAAAATTCTGGTTTCTTCTTTTGATTTCAGTGATACTCATCTTCAGGAAGATTAGTATAATGGAATCATCTTTCTCAGAAGACAGTCATTCAAGTTTTACTAAATTGCATGTTTCTTCTAACAGTCTAATCAAATGTCTTAATTCTTTGGAAAATAAAGATCAACTATGAGAAATGATAGGGCTGTCTGAGGGCACCAATGAAATAAATGCTTCCCCTTGCCAACACTGGCTAATGAGTATGTGATTTGCATGTAAACAGACAAATATGACACAGCAATGTACAAACCCAAGAGCAGCAGTTGGCTGTGTTCTTGGCAAAATGAAAAACAGTGTGAACGCAACAAACATGGCAGCACACTTTGGAGGGTTCCGATTCCTAGAGCCCATCTCTGTGAGCCACCTGAAGGTCACCACCCCAAAGACAGCTAGATACTCAACAGACACATTAAACTGCACAGCCATTCCAAACCCTGGAAAGACATTTCAAAGGAGAGTTACTAGTCCAATGGCTAGCTGGAGGGCAAAAACCAGCCATGAAGGCTAACAATGAGCATGGAGGGGGCGGGGGAGGGAAGAAATCAGACCTACTTAGAACACAAAACAGTCTTTGTAGAGAGAAAGAAAACCAAACACAGCAGCCTCTGGAGGCATAATCACATGCTCCAGTCATGGCAGGAGATAACATTTGTAGTTTTTAAGGATGACCTTAAGTCACCAAGAAGAGATGAATGTCTCTGCTATCTCCTAGTCACGAAAACGAAAAAGAATATACATCAGCAGTCGCATGCCATCCTGAAGTTAGGTGGCCGGCAGACCCTGTGGTGGGAGAAAGCGCTGCTAAGAGACTGAAGACAACATGCAAGCAACATGAGGAGGATGCCATCAATGATGGCTACAACCCAGGCCTTACGGAAAACCTCTTCTGTCCCAGGAGCACAGCTCTTACAGTCAGGTGGCTATGTCCATTGACTTAGTCAATATTTTCTTTAAGAGTCTTTCCTTCCCTCCATACATCCATGAACATCAAGTGAACTCTCCCTTAAGAGAAATGAGCAGTCAAGCCTGTACTCACTGTAACATCTGAATTAGGATTCACCTTTCCAGTAGAAAGGTGAACAGATTCCTGACATTACATGCGGTAATACAAGCAAGCAAAAATTAACTAAGGATCGCCTAAACAGGTTGTATCCATTTGATTCCACAGTTAGATTACATGGAAACATTTAGCTACCCAGCATCCTCTCACAGAACCTTTTCATTTAATAATTCACCCATTTTATAAAACTGTACTCTGAAACAATAGGCTTGATTTTTTTTAAAAAAGAAAAGGTTACTTAAAGTAAGATTTGCAGAATTAAACGAATGTCTAGCTATTTGGAGACAAAACCTAAAGTAACTAAAAGACAAAAACAACCTTCCTTACAGTAGTCCATTCTGGGTTCCAGACAGCAATGCAGCTGAAGAGAGGTCTGGGCTTGGAAAGAGACAGTAGTCAGGGGTTGGCAGAAGAAATCTGAGAGCAAGCAAGAGCTATGATCTGACAACGTCTCTACAGCAGCAGGCCGTGTGACCTGGGACTGCTACTCCCTGCGACCTGGGACTGCTGCTCCGTGCGACCTGGGACTGCTGCTCCCTGGAGCCAGGGTCTTGA